TCCGGTCTGCGCTCTACAAGAGGGCACCGCAGATGGCACACAGGGCAACCAAGGACGCCATGCTGGCCGCGTTGGAACAGCTCGAGCAGCAGCAGCAGCAGCAGCAGGGGAAGGGGAAGCAAGGGGAGAAGGAGAAGCAGCAGGGTCATGTCGTGCTGGTCGGGATGAACCCGACGCTGCCGCAGTCGTGTGATTTGCTGGGCCGCATCAAGAAGGTCATCAAGGACATCCCGCTGTACGACTGAGCTCGACGTCTCCGCGCGCTTGGGAGACAGGGAGCCATGTGCTCGTGTGTGTGTGTGTGCATGTGTGTGCATGTGCGTGATTGATTGTAATTGCGCGGGGAGTGCATGTCTACACGTGTAAGGGAGGGAGAGAGAGGGGGGGGGGAAAGACGTGTGGAGGACAGTGACAGTGTGTTTGCGTGCATGTGCATGTGCACACGATGCTGTTCTTTGCTTTGCTTTGCTTTGCTTTGCTTTCTTACACGTCCATATGTGTCTGCAATACACTGCATAAGCTACAGTGATGTATGTGATCACGAATAGCGCTTTGCGGTGAACAGAGCACAGAAATGGAATGTGTGTGTGTGCGTATGTGAGGGATGTGTGTGTGTGTGTGTGTGTGTGCGTGTATGTGTTTGAAGGACTGTTCTATTGACTGTCAGTCTGCCGTTCTGCGTTGTCGCATTGTCGTTGTCGTTGTCGGTGATGAGAAGTGATGTGAACAACCACTCGACCACGCTGATGTTGATGGTCGGCGTCACAGTCACTTGTGCTTGACAAGGGAATGGTTGGGTTGTGATTGTTAACGAGTGGCTTCCCAGCACTGCCTCTGCTGCACCGCTCGTTGACACGGGTGCCCTGGTCGTGAGGGTCGTCGGTGGGCGATTGAAGTATTGGTTGTGTGTGCCTGTGTGCGGTGGTGGTGGTGAGGAACGTGTCGTGTCACAACGTCACCATGCTGGGTGAGAGACAGGCGTTGCATTCATTGCTGAGAAATTTTATGTTGACTGGGAAGGATGATGATGATGAGACGCAGGATGATGGTGGTGGCGGTGGTACAACTGCTCGTGTTGATGTGTTGCGGTGTGGCGGCGTCGCATGTGTCTTCTGGTAGGAAGGCGTCCATCTTCTTTCTGCTCACGGATGACCAAGACGTCGACATGGGCTTTGTGTCCCAGCCCAAGCTCGTCAGCCTGTGGCAGAAGCAAGGCGGTGTGTGTGTGTGTGTGCGTGTGTGTGTGTGCGTGTGTATGAGAGAGTGTGTGTGTGTGCGTGTGTATGAGAGAGAGTGTGTGCGTGTGTATGAGAGAGTGTGTGTGCGTGTGCATGTGCGTGTGTATGAGAGAGTGTGTGTGTGTCTGTGTGTGTGTGTGTTTGCAGCTGTAGCTGAGGCTATGTCAAGCTGTATGTCAAGCTGTATGTCAAGTTGTATTGTGGTGTGCGTGCATGCGTTTGAATATGTATTTCTACTTCATGTCTGTGTACCTATCTGTCCACCCGTGCGGCTGTCCGCTTGCCACGCACTTGCGCACTGCCGTCCTCCCTTCCTCCCCCCCCCCCCCCATCCACGGGGCTACCGGACGTCAAGGCTGGCCCTGCCTCTCTTTCTCTGTGCACAGTCTGACACACCACTGGCCTGCTCCTGCGTTGCCCTTGCAGCCACATTGGAAGCAGCCTTTGCCAGCACACCTGTGTGTTGTCCTTCACGCGCAGGCATCCAGACGGGAAGGTACATCCACAACGTCCCCATGACCAACAACTCCATCCCGGGCAATTGTTCCAGCACTGCGTGGCAGCAAGGCGCCGAGAGGCACAACATCGGCCACCTCATGAAAAAGCCGGTGTGTGTGTGTGTGTGTGTGTGTGTTTGTGTGTGTGTGTGTGTGTGTGTGTGTGTGTGTGTGTGTGTGTGTGTGTGTGTGTGTGTGTGTGTGTGTTTGCATGTGTGTTCGAGGGAGGGAGCGCGCGTGTATGTGCCTGTCTTTCTGTGTCTCTCTCTGCATGTGCTTGTCGTTGTTTGTGGTGCTTGCTCCCTGTTCAGTGGCCTCTGCAGCTGCAGTTGTGTCCTTTCATCGCTGGCACTGCCCCACACGTCACCTCTCACTTGCAGGTTACACAACAATGTACACGGGCAAATACTTGAACCAGTACGTGCATCGTGGCACGCGTAACGTCGACACGCGCACGACCGACAGTGTTTCGTTGCTGCATGTATGATGGATTCACGCACATGAACGCAGCCACGTACATACACGCATTCAAAGATACACATGCACACGCACACATACACGCACATACACACGCATACTCATACTCACATACACGCACATACATACACATTCACATGCACACGTGCGATTGTCTTGGGTGCAGATACGGTGCCCCGAGTGCCGGTGGTGTGCAACATGTTCCTCGCGGATGGGACAACTGGCAAGCACGTAAGCTCGTCATGTACGCGCATGCGTGTGCGTGTGTGGTCATGTGCACATGCGTGTACATGCGTGAACATGCTCGTGTGTGTATGTGTACTCGTGTGTGTATGCATGGCTGTATAGATGTGAAAATGGGTGTGTGCGTGTGTGTGTGTGTGCGTGTGTGTGTGAACGCGCCGTGCATGCTGGTTTCCAGCCTGGCAGTGGTTATGCTCCCAGTTCATGTACCGCCTTGCTGTCCATGTATGTATGTATGTATGTATGTATGTATGTATGTATGTATGTATGTATGTATGTATGTATGTATGTATGTATGTATGTATGTATGTATGTATGTATGTATGTATGTATGTATGTATGTATGTATGTATGTATGTATGTAGGCAACAGCGTGTACTACGACTACGTGATCTCCAACAACGGAACCCCGGAGCCACACGGCAACACGTACCTGCCAAACGTATGTGACACGTCCGTGAGTGGCGCGCGTGCTTGTGAACTTGTGCGTGCGTATGCACTTGTACGTGCGTGTGTGTGTTTGTGTGTGCGTGAGTGTTGTCATTTTGCTTTGTCTGCAAGCCTACTGCTGTTGTTCCACCTGGACACGCCGCCACGCTGCGTGCTCCTTGATCCTATGCGTCACACCACCACCACCACTCCCCGCACACCGCTGGCATGCCGTGGCAGCTGCTGTTGGACAAGACATCCAATTTCCTGCGGACACTGGAAGGGACTGATGACCCCTTCTTCATCATGGTTGGCACTCCGTCATGCCACGACCCAACAGAGCCTGCACCAGAATATGCGCACCTCCTGCCAAATGCAACTGCCGCGCCCGCCAAACTATGGTCAGCAGCTGCTGTGCCTTTGTGTCTCTGTGTATGTGTGTGTTTCTGTGCATATGTGTGTATGTCGGTGTATGTGTTTGTGTACGCGTGTTTGCGTGTTTCTGTGTATGCGCGTTTCTGTGCATATGTGTGTATGCGTGTGTGTGCATATGTGTGTATTTGTGTGCGTGTAGTTGTGTTTCTGTTTCTGTTTCTGTTTCTGTGTGTGTTTCTGTTTCTGTGTGTGTGTGTGTGTTTTCGTCCGTGTGCTCCGTTGAAACGGCTGTCTCGCTCTGCGCCCCCTGTTTCTGCTTGCAGGCAAGGCGTTTCGAGACAAGCACTGGTTTGTTGCAAAGCAAGGAGAGGTCGCAGGTTTTGGATCAGGTAGACAGATATGGCACATGCAATTGCGTTTATTGCCAGACACACGCACTCACACGTGCCACACGTTCACTCACACGCACTCACTCACTCACTCACTCACTCACTCACTCACTCACTCACTGACTCACTGACTCACTCACTCATTGACTCACTGACTCACTCACTCACTGACTCACTGACTCACTCACTCACTCACTCACTCACTCACTCACTCACCTTCGACGTGTGTTCTGGCACCACGCGCGCTGCTGTTGCATGTTGATTGCGCCTGTCATACGGCAAAGGGTATGCGCCAATCGAGGAGAAGTACAATGATCTGCAGTACCGCCGACGCGCCCTCACGCTCATGACCGTTGATGACATCGTCGCAAACGTCACAGCGTACGCCAATGCCTCGTGCACTCGTGGCTTAAGTTGTTGTTGTTGTTGTTGTTGTTTAAGTTGTTGTTTAAGTTGTTGTTGTTGTTTAAGTTGTTGTTTAAGTTGTTGTTGTTGTTTAAGTTGTTGTTTAAGTTGTTGTTGTTGTAGTTGTTGTGTGCGACGATGACTGTTGTGCGTTCATGCGCACATTCGCCACCACAACCAGCAACACCGCCGCTTAGCACGACGCAAATACACTGCGCTTATTCGATCGCTCTGCATTCACACTCACTCACTCACACACACGCTTATTGCCTGCCTGTCTGTCTCTGCCTGTCTCTCTCGTACACGCACGTGCTTGCAGGCACACAGCGGGGGCAACTGCTGCTGACGATCAACGGCGTGGAGAAGGACCGTGACTTTTACTTTGGAAAACTCAGACAGCTCGAGGTGAACGCGATACGCGAAGCCGTGGACAGAACCATAGCTCATCACACACGCACTTACGCATGCACGCTCCCCCACACACTCTCTGCCTGTCTCTGTCGATGCCTCTCTTGTCCCCCTCTTTCCCCTCCCTCTTCCTTTGCCTCTCTGCATCTCTGTCCCTCCGTCCCCTCAGCTTCCCTCCCTCCCTCTCTCTCACACACACTCACACACACACACACTCTCTCTCTCTCTCTCTCTCTCTTTCTCTCACTCACTCACACACACACACTCTCTCTTTCTCTCTCACTCTCACTCCCACACACACTCACACACACACACTCAGACACACACACACACACTCACACACACACGCTCTCACTCCCTCACTCTCTCTCGCCGTCTCTTGTCCGTATCTCATCAACGGTTGCGTGTTTGTGCCGGCCTGAGCAGCGCCTGGGACGGCGCCGCGCGGACTCGTGCAGACGGCAGTGGCTCTTGTTCGCAATGAAGGGTTCCGCGCACTCTACCGTGGCCTCACCGCCTCTCTGGGCAGGCAGGGCACATACTCCACCACGCGCTTTGCAGGTGTGGCATCCAAATGCGCCCATCTGTGCGTGTACACATGTGTGCATGTGTTTGCGCTTGCATGTGTTTCTGTGTGTTCATGTGTGCATCCGTGTGCGTGTGTGCATGTGTGTGTGTGCGTATTTCTGTGTGCATGTGTGCCTGTGCGTGCGTGTGTGTGTTTTTCTCGACAAGAGCGTGTGTTTGCGTGTGTTGCAGCGTGACTTGCGCACCTGTTCTATCAACTGTCCTTCACAGCAGGACACCAACCATTCAACACCCCCTTTCCCCTGATAGCCTGCTGCTCTGTCTCTGTGGTGCCTGTCTGCGTCCATACTCGTGGCTCACCGACCGCCATTCCTGTACCCTCTCTCCGCGCTCTTCCCCAACTCTACACACGCACACACACACACACACACACACACACACACACATACACACACACACACACACACACACACACACACACACACACACACACACACACACACACACACAGTGTACGACTTTCTCAAGGCTGAATTCAGTGCCCGCAAGGCTGACGGGCAGCTGACGACTGCCGAGCGCTTTGCAACAGCCATGACCGCGGGCGGGTGCGGTGGCATTGTGGGCACACCCATGGACGTGTGCAACGTGCGCATGCAGGATGATGGCCGGCTGCCGGCTGCCGAGCGCCGCAACTACAAGCACGTCGGCAACGCCCTTGTTCGCATCATCAGGGAGGAAGGCATTGGCAAGTTGTACTCTGGGCTCGGGCCCAACGTGATTCGCGCCATGCTCATGACGGCGGGGCAGCTCGCCTCATATGACACGTTCAAGCAGCTGCTGCTGACAACAACTGGCGGCCTGTTCAAGGACAACCTCGTCACCCACTTCACGGCGTCGACGCTTGCCGGTGGCGTTGCCACGCTGCTGACACAGCCGGTCGACGTGGTGAAGACGCGCGTGATGGCAGCGACCCCGGGCACATACAGCAGCGCACTGCAGTGTGCGGGCATGACGCTCAAGCAGGAAGGACCGCTCGCCTTCTTCAAGGGGACGGTGCCTGCGTTTACGCGTCTGGGCCCACAAACGATCCTCACGTTTGTGTTTCTGGAGCAGTTGCGGCGATTGCACTACTACCTCACGCATGGTGAGGACAAGCCCGTCTGATGGAGCAAGGGGGGGTTTGATTGGCGTGGTGATGTGTGTGTTTGTGTGTTTGTGCATGTGTGTGTGTGTGTCGTGCGCGTCGTTGCTTGTTGGTTGTGTTTGCAATGAAGAGGAGTTGCTGTTGCGCTGGGCTGTGGCCCACTGTTGTGCTGCGTCGTGCGCACGTGACGTGGCCTTGCCTTCCTTCCTGTTGGGACGCTGCTCTCTCAGGGGATCGTTACTCTCTGCCATATGCCCGTTTGCTCTGTTTGATGTCACATCACAACATTACTTTGTGCATCTGACAGCATGATGGGAGTAAAAGTGGCCATGGATTAGTTGCGGATGACAGCAGCAACAGCGCAGAGTGGTGGGGGGGAGGGAGGAAGGGCTACACATACACACACACACACACACGAAGGAGATATACACACACGCACACACACACGGAGACACTTGGTTTCTATCGATCTTTTTGGTTTCTGTCTGTCAACGCTTGAGGCCCTTGGGCCGCTCACATAGCATTCAAGCATTCAGTAGCAGACATTCACTCCCTCACATCACCCAGTCACCCACTCGTGCAAGCGCCTGTCTGAAATGAGCACACTTTCGGTTTTGATTGCTTCCCTCATCTCTGAGCACTGGGAATGGTGGAAGATTTCAACAAATTTTCCCCCAATTACATACACCACACAAGCGAAGATTCGAGGGTGATTTAATGATCCCGCCGCGAAATTCAACGAAGACCACGAAGGATGGCAAGCACGAGAGGCAGCTTCGATTCGGCGTCAGGAGGGCTGTGGCGCATCGACGAAGAGGTTGTTGTATGTGCTCTGTGCTGTGTGTGTGTGTGTGTGTGTGTGTGTGTGTGTGTGTGTGTGTGTGTGTGTGTGTGTGTGTGTGTGTGTGTGTGTGTGTGCAGAGCTGTCGTGTTTCTCTCAGTCTCAGTCTCTTTCATTGTCTCTCTATCCCCTGTCCTAATCTTCCGTCTCTCAGTCTCTGTCTCTCTTTCGCGTTCTGTCTCTCAGTCTCTGTCTTGCTCTTTCTGTTTCGCGCGCTCTATCTCCCGCGCGCGCTCCATGTTTCCTTCTCGCTCATTCGATCATCTCTTGGAGTGATTGAGCACACACTGGTGTCTTGTGTTGTCTGTGGCCGTGTGTCGACACTGGCGTGCTTGCCCTTGTCGATTCCCGCCTTTCTCACTTTCTTTCTACTTTGTCCACATCCTTGTCTCGCTCTGCTGTTCTCACACACACACTCTCCCTCCCTCTCTCTCTCTCTCTCTCTCTCTCTCTCTCTCTCTCTCTCTCTCTCTCTCTCTCTCTCTCTCTCTCTCTCTCTCTGTTTCTGTTTCTGTTTCTGTTTCGTGCGCTCTCTGTTTCGTGCGCTCTCTGTTTTGCGCGCTCTATCTCCCGCGCGCGCTCTATGTCTCCTTCTCGCTCATTCGGTCATCCCTTGGAGTGATTGAGCACACACTTGTGTCTTGTGTCGTCTGTGCCCGTGTGTCGACACTGGCGTGCTTGCCCTTGTCGATTCCCGCCTTCCTCGTTTTCTTTCCACACCGTCTGTGTTACTGTGTTTCCCACTCTTTGCATCCTGTACGGAAGAACAGAGATTGCTTGTGTGTGTGTGTGTGTGTGTGTGTTGATGCGTGTATGTGTATGTGCATATCTCTGTGTGGTGCATCTTCACTTCACACACAACCTCAGTGTGGCTCACGTTCCTGTTTACCTGTGCCTTTGTGCCCGCCTTTGTCTTGGCCTAGTCCTGTTCTGACACCATGTCCGGCAGCATGAGCTCTGCGACATTCAACGCAGTACGTACAAAGGAATGCGACCATGCTGCTGTGTTGCACGTTCACTTGGCCACAGCACACACACACACACACACTCTCCCCTGCCCATTGCATCTCACTCAAACACAACACAACATGTTCCTTGCTTTCTGCCTGCTCTGTGCGTGTCGTGCCTTGAATCGTGTGCTGTTGCACATAAGCAGGCCTCAAGGGTAAGCGGAAACAGCAGGTGTTCATGGTCTGTCGAGTACAAGCTGGATTGCATGATACACGTGTTCGTCCTGCCAGCAGAAGCAGACCAGCATCACGATCGTCGCCACCACAGCGCAACCACCATCACCACAGCGCCGTTATCATTTCTCCTCTGCAACACAGCTGCTTGTGTGTGTGTGTGTGATGTTTGCATTCACCCTCTGTGCTCACCCACACTCTCTGCCCAACCCCTTTCAACCACCACAACGCCGTTCTGTCGACACCAGCAGGCTTCACGCAACAGCGTGGTACGTCAACCACCGACCACAGTCACCACAGACAGCAACAACCATCGCAGCCACCAACCATCACCACCACTACCACCACCACGGTGCAATCACCACAACACGTGCTGTGATTTCGGCTTCCGCCACGATGTTCTAGGATGTTGCTCATACCCGCACCCACCTCATGTTCTCGTGCATAAAACCCACCCCCCGTCTTTTCTTTTCAGAGAGACTTGAAACGAACTGAAACCCGCGTGGCCTCCAAGGTTCTGCAATTGCGCATGCACAAGCACACATTGACACAGCACTGCCTTGCGATGCAGCAACCGAATCCCCCACCCCCTCACACCCCCCGCCACAGACCGGTATCACCTCTTACCCCACCGTCACAACACCATCGTCATGCACAGGCATCCATCATAACGGAGGCAGCCGCGCGGTTTGCGACCATTACGCAGCTGCAAGAAGTATGCGCGCAGCAGCAAGGCAGCAGCGGCAGCAGCAGCAGGCTGGACGACATGCTCTATCTGCTGGAAAGATGGACCCTGGATGAGTGCAGCTCAATGATTGACAGACTGCAGCACGTATTGGAGGAGAAGGAAGAGGGTGTGCGGGCCGCACAACAACAGCTTGCGGCTGCACAGGCGGAGCATGACAAGGTCTGGGCGGCCCTTGCGCGGGAGCAGATGGAGAGGATGATGGCGGAGGTGGAGAGGGTGAAGCGCGATGCTGAGCGAGTGAAGCAGCAACAACACAGGCAGCAGCGCATGCGCGACAGGCAGCAGCGCATGCGCGACAGGCAGCAACGCATGCGCGACAGACACGACAGACAGCAACGCATCCAGGAGGCGAGGAACGTGAATGCACAGCGGATCGGGGACAAGAGAAATGAGCTCACGCACGCACAGGCCGAAGCTGGTTTGGCATCGCCGACCGACCAACAGGCATTTGCAGCGGCGGAGAGGAATGTGACTCAGTTGGAGGAACAGCTTGCCACGCTGCTGGTGCAACGTGATAACCTGCGCAGAGCGATGGAGAAAATCATCAAGGAGAATGAAGAAGAAAGGATGAGGGATGAAGAGGAGAAGGTGCGGGATGAAGAGGAGAGGGTGAGGGAAGAAGAAGAAAGGATGAGGGAAGAAGAGGAGAGGGTGAGGGATGAAGACGAGAGCACAGGGGAAGAAGAAAAACGGATGAGAGAAGAAGAAAAGAGGAGGAGGGATGAAGAAGAATGGACGAAGAAGTGGCAGCAACAGCAACACAAAGTGTGGGTGCGCGCGTTGACGACATTGCTGCAGGCGGCAGGTGAGCCGCTGCCACACACCACAAGTGCCGAGCATCTGTGGACTGTGGTGTCGCAGGTGGTGGACGACGCCCTGGCGACAGCATGGGAGGCCGGCCTTGTGCCCGCCGCTGCTGGCCCGCCCCGACTGGCCACTATCACTCTATCTGCTCTCCAAGATATCGAGAAGCGCGTTGCGGAGAAGAAGATCAGCTCACTTGCCGCGATCAGAGACGGTATGCTGTCATCCACCTCTTTGTGTGTTTTCGTGCGGATGTGGTGGTGAAGACGGCCCTGCTTGTTTTGGTTGTCTTGATGACACAAGGTCAAGCGTCCACCTGTTTGCGTGTGTGTGTGTGTGATGTTTTGCGTTGATGTCACACAGCGCACAACACGTTTGCTTGTATCGTCGTTGTCACTGTCACTGCCATTGCCACTGTAATGATCGCTGCCTTTGTCACTGTGTCACAGTTACTGTCGTTGGCATTTGCATTGGTAGCCTCCACCACCATAGTCACGCATGCGACACATTCACGCTTGTTTTGACAATTCTCCGCCCCTCATGCGCGCTGATTGCACTGCTATGTGTGTGTGTGTGCGTGCAGAATTCTTCTTCATGACGCCACCAAGCAGCATCACCAAGCCCGAGAAGAACCCGTATCTCGTCTACTGGCCGGACAATGCCCAGTTCTTCACCGACATATGGCGAGAGCCACTCGCAAAACAGGTGCTGCAATGCAATGACATCCGTCGCCGCTGCGCTCTGTGTGTGCGGGCGGTGCTGGTGGAACAGTAGTGCTGTGCTCATTTCTGTAAACGTGCATGTGCGTGCATGTGTGTGTGCGAGCGAGAATATATGAGTGCGACTGTGTGCTTGTGTATTTCTGTGCTTTTTTGTGTGCTTGTATGTGTGTGTGTGTGTGTGTGTCTCATGTGCTTGGTGTCATTATCATCACCACCACCACTAAACGACGTGCCGCCATGTGTGCACTCCTCCCCATGCCACTCACCAACCGCCCGTCCCGCACGCCTTTGTGTCAACACACTCGTGTGTATGTGCATGTGTGCGTGTGTGCATGCGTGCTTGTTTTCGCGTTTCCAGTTTGAGCTGAAGGCTGATGACATCACGCCACAAGCAGTGATTGCAAAGATTCACGAAATCGAACAGCTGCTGGTCTCCAGCGCCGACCCACACTGCCCCCGCGAGGACCGAGTGACGCTTGACCTACCACAAGGTAAGGACGTGGCGAAGTCTGTTGTTGCCTGTGTTTGCACTGCTTTCAGTTTCAAGTGCACGTGCAGACACGTGTACTTGGCCCTGGAGCGTTTATCAGCGTCGTTATCATCATGTGGTGTTTGGTGGTGTATTGCCGATGTGTGCGCAAGCGCACATGAAGGGTTGTGATGTGAGATGTGATTGTGACACCATCGTGCAATGCGTGCACGTTTGCATCTCACCCCTGCCTATACACACACACGCACACGCACACACACACACACACACACGCACACACACGCACACACACACACACACATACACACACACACACACTACACACCGCGCGCTCGCAGGTTTGCCTTCACCAAAACTGCTGACAACAGGATGGGCCAACGAAGCGGAGATGCGTACCGATATCGCTCAGCACCTCAACGCCATGGCTTTGCGCCTCGGAGCCTGGGTCACGTTCAACAGTGAGGTCCCAATCATGACGTACGTTGTGCGGTGCATGTTGTGCCCAGTCGTTGGCGGGTGTTTGCTGTATCCTTGTTCCCGCTCTCTTGCGTGCCCTGTGCTGCTTGTGGTGCTGCGAGTGCCGACTTCTTACAGGGAACGTGCCGTGCTCTTGTTGCGCTTGCCGCCTTGCGTTGGCCAGGTTCAAGCCAGGCACCCGCCCCACAACAGACATTGTGATGGTGGATGGTCGTACAAACACAAAAGTGGCCGTGTTTGAGCTCACGCTAGGCGAGGATGCTGACTCGCTTGGCCAGTTGGCAGCGTACGCACACCACGCGATTGTGGCGAACGTGCACCGCATTGCAGGCGAGCACGTGCCTCTGGAGAAGCTGCCCCTGCTCGCTGGGCTGGCGATGTTTGGGCTGCGTGTCAACCCGGTGCAGACCACCGTTGTGGAGTTTATGGTGGCCAACGCCGGTGGAGTGGTGAAGGTGGTTGCCCACAACATCATGTCCATGCCGACGAAGAACATTGGGCAGGCTGCTCTGGCCATTTCCTGCTTTGCGGACTTCCTCCACGCGAAGTACGCCCACGCCATCAAGCAGAACACTGAGCATGGCAGCGACTTTGCGCTGAATGTCATGAAGCCCCATGTGCTGCACTTCAACCCCGACAGCGGCAAAGGTGTGTTGTTTGCTGCTTGCTCGTCTGCGTCTGTATGTGCGTGTGTGTGTATGCATGTGTGGGTGTGTGCATGTGTGTGTGCCTGCGTCTGTATGTAGTATGTGTGTGTGCATACATGCGCCTGTCTCTCCGCCCCCTCCTCTCTCTGCCTCTCTCTGCTTCTGTTTGTGTGTGTGTGGTTGAAAGGCGGTCGCTGTGCAGCGTTGTATGCACCATTGCGCCCATGCCTGTGCTCGTGTGTGGTGTGATTCATATGATGCTGGTTGTGCTTATCGCTGTGCTGTTAGCAGAGGCACCGAAAGTGCTCAGTTCCGTCGCCAACAAAGGCAGCGGATACGTGTGCAAGTTCATCAAGACTGGGCACCGTGCTGGCGACTTGTGTGCTGAAGAGATTGAGAACATGTGGAAGTATGTCAACGGGCAACGCGCTTGCAGTCGCATCCCCACCACCAACAGCAAGAGCAGCACCACGAACACCACCAGCAGCACCACGAACACCACCAGCAGCAACATCATCAGCAGCAGTGGCAACGACACGCAGATGATTGCGGTGCCCCACCTCGGGTCGACCCGCGCTCACATTCACGAACAGCACGTGGTGCAGCTCTGCAACAGCTTGTTTCTCCTGTCAGCGGCTGGTCTCGTTCACCATGACATTCGCTGCGCCAACGTGGTCGTGAGCGGCGACAAAGCCTCTCTTATCGACTTCGAACTGGCTGGCTGTGACGCCGATGTCATGGAGGCAGCGGAACTCGAGCCGGCTGAGGTTGCTCTTCGCAGGGACCTGCCTGAGCGGTCAGCACGCATCCGTGCAGCTGGTGACGAGCGAGTGAAACGCCACATCGAGGATGACTGGATTGCCATGTTCTACGTGTGCGTTCTCCGGTCTGCGCTCTACAAGAGGGCACCGCAGATGGCACACAGGGCAACCAAGGACGCCATGCTGGCCGCGTTGGAACAGCTCGAGCAGCAGCAGCAGCAGCAGCAGGGGAAGGGGAAGCAAGGGGAGAAGGAGGAGGGCCATGTGGTGCTGGTCGGGATGAACCCGACGCTGCCGCAGTCGTGTGATTTGCTGGGCTGCATCAAGAAGGTCATCAAGGACATCCCGCTGTACGACTGAGCTCGACGTGTCCGCGCGCTTGGGAGACAGGGAGCCATGTGCTCGTGTGTGTGTGTGATTATGTGTGTGCATGTGTGTGCATGTACGTGATTGATTGTAATTGCGCGGGGAGTGCATGCCTACACGTGTAAAGGAGGGAGAGAGAGAGAGGGGGGGGGGGAGAGACGTGTGGAGGACAGTGTGTTTGCGTGCATGTGCATGTGCACACGATGCTGTTCTTTGCTTTGCTTTGCTTTGCTTTGCTTTGCTTTGTTTTCTTACACGTCCATATGTGTCTGCAATACACTGCATAAGCTACAGTGATGTATGTGATCACGAATAGCGCTTTGCGGTGAACAGAGCACAGAAATGGAATGTGTGTGTGTGCGGATGTGAGGGATGTGTGTGTGTGTGTGTGTGTGTGCGTGTATGTGTTTGAAGGACTGTTCTATTGACTGTCAGTCTGCCGTTCTGCGTTGTCGCATTGTCGTTGTCGTTGTCGGTGATGAGAAGTGATGTGAACAACCACTCGACCACGCTGATGTTGATGGTCGGCGTCACAGTCACTTGTGCTTGACAAGGGAATGGTTGGGTTGTGATTGTTAACGAGTGGCTTCCCAGCACTGCCTCTGCTGCACCGCTCGTTGACACGGGTGCCCTGGTCGTGAGGGTCGTCGGTGGGCGATTGAAGTATTGGTTGTGTGTGCCTGTGTGCGGTGGTGGTGGTGAGGAACGTGTCGTGTCACAACGTCACCATGCTGGGTGAGAGACAGGCGTTGCATTCATTGCTGAGAAATTTTATGTTGACTGGGAAGGATGATGATGATGAGACGCAGGATGATGGTGGTGGCGGTGGTACAACTGCTCGTGTTGATGTGTTGCGGTGTGGCGGCGTCGCATGTGTCTTCTGGTAGGAAGGCGTCCATCTTCTTTCTGCTCACGGATGACCAAGACGTCGACATGGGCTTTGTGTCCCAGCCCAAGCTCGTCAGCCTGTGGCAGAAGCAAGGCGGTGTGTGTGTGTGTTCGTGCGTGTGTGTGTGTGTGTGCGTGTGTATGAGAGAGTGTGTGTGCGTGTGCATGTGCGTGTGTATGAGAGTGAGTGTGTGTGTGTGTATGAGAGAGAGTGTGTGCGTGTGCATGTGCGTGTGTATGAGAGAGAGAGTGTGTGTCTGTGTGTCTGTGTGTGTGTCTGTGTGTGTGTGTGTGTTTGCAGCTGTAGCTGAGGCTATGTCAAGCTGTATGTCAAGCTGTATTGTGGTGTGTCTGCCATGCGTTTTGAGTAGGTATTTCTACCTCAAGTTCTGAGTACCTACCAGCCCACCCCGTGCTGCTCGCTCGCGTGGAAAGCAGTTGGGCACATGCCTTGCGCACAGTCTGTGTTGTACTATGTCACCGAGCTGCTGCTGAGAGGAGCTGTCCCCAGCTCATATTCGTCGTCTCACATTTAAGACAGTTGTCTAGCATTCATTAGGTGTCGGTGTAGAATCGGTAGGTAGAACGGTGAACGACCATATGGGTGGGTAGGGTGAGGATGGTTGTCAGGGTGAATATGACTAGATG